AATACGAGTATAACTGATACGTTTGCATGTTTTGTATGTACGTAAATAGGGGGCGCCGGCGTTTATTGCGTCGGTGGTGAACCAGACGGTGAAAAATGTAGCTCGAATCCATGGATTGGGAGTGAAGAAAATTGCAGTGAGCGGTCTGCAACCCCTCGGGTGCCTCCCGCAGACAACAGCTTCATCGTCATTCCAGCAGTGCAACTCCACCTTCAACACCTTCGCCACCCTTCACAACACCCTCTTGGGCCAAGGGCTGGCGAAACTGAAGGAAGAAGCCAACGACAATTCCAGCTTTGTCGTTCTTGACCTTTTCGACAGTTTCATGTCGGTACTGAACCACCCCTCCACCCATAACATACAGAACCAGTTCAAGCCTTGCTGCGTTGGGGTGAGCAGCCAATACTCCTGCGGAAGCGTGGACGACAAGACCATGGCCAAGAAATACACAGTGTGTGAGGATCCTAAGTCCGCTTTCTTTTGGGACTTGGTGCACCCAACGCAAGCTGGGTGGCATGCCGTTTATAACAACTTGCTCACCACTAATGCCCTTCAACAACTTCAATAGTAATGAGCAAGTCTATGTTATTTTGCTGTCATATTCATCGGTTCTTCTGTTTGTCTGTAATATTAATAATATGGCCCTTCCAATAGTTTAATTGTTCCTTACGTTGGGTGCTAATGTGGTATACTGTGCGAATTGATTTTTTTTTTCTTTTTTTCAAAAGGAACATGCTTTCTGGAATGCATCTTTTCCTTTTTCATGTCTTTCTTTCACCCCTAAAAAAAAAAATGAATTGTTCCACATAAGCTTAAGAGTTAAGATGATTCTACTACTTACAGGTCAATGGATCAATATTTTTGTGGCGAGATTCTCCTTTAATTTTTCTTATCTTTTCGTTTTTTAATGAAAGAAGACTATTTTGCGAAAGCATTCTGATCAGTATGCAGCTTAATGCCCCTGATCTGTAAGATCACTTCACAGACATATCATGTTGTGAGGGTAATGCAAGTTCATGGATAGAAACCATTTGGACTTCGAAACCATTTAGTAGAGTCGTGATTAATTCCCTCAACATGAAAGAAACGGATCGTGCCTTGTTCTTTAAATTGTCGTAATTATATGGTAATCCTCTATATGATTAGATCGATGAGAGGCCGTGGACTGAAGGTGAATATAATTTATGACATGTTAGGCATTAAGTTTCTAAATTAACATCATCCCCCTCTTCATTCCTTTCCGAATTTTACTTCTAGCAGGTGCCCACCCATTTGCGTGAACCCTCGATGATCCAGTCCTTAATCACTATATTGGTATTTGTGATGTGGGCTTTCGCATTTGTTCAAAGAAAGTTGCTTTCCTCTGTTTAAGAAACGCAGAACAGAAGTGGTTCATATAGATGGACAAGGTTAGAAACATAAAGGAACAAATCACAATTCAACCACACTAGCACCCACATAAACGCATCTATCTATTTGGTAGGGAAGTCGCGGGTACCTAACCGCGGAAAGTAACACGACCAAAAACAAAAAAGAAAAGAAAAAATTGATGCAGTTTGCTTGTGGAAATTCGCGTTTTATAGACCTTTTATTGAGTTGAACCACAAAACAGAGGACTCCAAGATTCTTCCACCTTTGTTGTTTTGGTTTCCCTGTTGAACAATCCAGGGAGCCATGATATTTGAAACGGGGAATAATTGTGGGATGCAACAATATTTGTGATGATCCAACATCTCCCACTCTGGCAGGGTAGATTTCCTCCAAAAGATGCTCTTCTCAACAACTTCCACACGTCTCAGCTTCATGTCTGCATTTTGTGTTTGAAACTGTTTAAGACTTGTAAAAAAATGAATCTTGGAGAAGAAAATGAACATTCATAAAAATGATGATTATTGAACATTACAACAACATAATTCTTCTGAAACGATTTACAAAGACAATTCATCTCTTAAGAGTGGAATACAAATCCCAAACAATGGGACTATGGACGGATTACAATTAATTTCCCTACATACACAATGATATGTGGTCCTTTTACATGGATTTGGGGATGCCATCTAACTTGGTGGTTTACACTAATCACATCCATATGTTTCAACAGAAACCATTCGAGCTTTCTGCGTGTCTGTTGCAAGCAAAGCGTTTCCCATTATTTTCCAGATAACGTATTTTTCTCTTTTGTTTTAGAAAGATACACTTGTTAACTATTTACTCTACTAAGAAATTTACAATTTAAGCCCCGGGAGTTTTAGAATGACTGCTCTTTAATCTCTGGAGCTTGTACTGAGGGACTGACGAGAAGCAAGCAAGTTTTAGAGATTCAGTCGTATATATTTGTAAGATTCTGTAAATAACTAACTAAATAGTTACACCTTTTTCTATCTGTGGCCGTTAAATACGCAACACTGGATGTGGCCTTTTGATCTAGGCCTTGAAGATCCGAAACTTAAGCCTCCAGATTCTCAATATTAGACCGTGTTTATTTGCTCTTCTAGTCTTCTAATTTACCCTTCACTGCATGATCTGCGGTCAGTGCCGTTGTAGAATACCTATATTTATAAATTTGCATAAAAAAGCTCTTCCTTCTCCATCAGCTTACCCTACAGCAACAAACATCCATGTTATTTCACAGTAGATTCTGTCATTACCAAACGATGATATTACGTAATTGGCGACAGCTCTTGTTCTCTCTCTGTTTTCTGCCAATACTGATCCAAGGATCAAGCCAATATGAAAGAAAGGTATGCCCAACAACCTCAGTTACGTACTGAATGGTCACTGCAATCTGTCGCATTTTTCTTGAGCGAAGCATGTGTAAATACATAATATAGTTTAAATAATATGAAATTTGTGATAAACAAAACAGCCATACATTGTGTACATGGGACACCTGCCAGAGGATGCTACTAGAACCCATGCCGTAGAATCCCAACATCACAACTTGCTGGAGGCTGCAATTGGAGAGTAATAATCTCGGACTAAACGGGCTTTCCAAGCACACGTTTTCTTTCCCCTTTTCCAGTAAAAAAGCATATATTAATTATGAACGTCGATTTGTTGTGCGCTCACATTCTACAGCCATCAGTTAGCCAGAGTCTCCAAAATACACAGCTATAGTAAGAGCTTCAACGGGTTCGCAGCACGGCTATTGCCGCACGAAGCAGAGAAACTCCAAGGTATTCCAAAATAGTTGAAGACACAAGTTCTATCTTTTTTATTTTCTCCTTTTCACTTTAGAGTATGCATATATTCTGCATCTGTGGTATTATTAATGCAGAGAAGGAAGGTGTAGTGTCTGTGTTTCTAAACACAGTGCGAAAACTACACACTACATGGTCATGGGATTTTGTGGGAATGCCCCTCCAAGTAAAGAGACGCTCCAACATCGAGAGCCATATCATCGTGGGCATGTTGGATACAGGTAAGTGTTTTGCGGTAGAGTTGTATAACAATTGATTCAGATTGAATGTAGATGATTATATATCAAGAACATGTGAGCAGGTATATGGATGGATTGCCCAAGTTTCAACGACCAAGGCTACGGACCTCCTCCACGCAGATGGAAGGGCAAATGCGTCACAGGAGTTAACTTCACAGGCTGCAACAAGTATATATATTCCTTCTTCCAACCCTTCACCAAAACAAATATTATTTTTATCACTATTAAAACATCTAAGAAAAACAGGAATCACAATTTACCTTCTTAATCATGAAAGTGCACCGACTAACGTGTGTATGAGAAAGAGATTTAGATTGTCTGACATAACATGATGATCAAATTGGGGCAAAAAAAAAAAGTTATAAATCACATATAGATAGCAAAACTTCTATATTTACTTTTCTTCCCTTCTACCGCACAATCAGATTTAAATTCCTGGTAGTATTTGACTTCTTGCAAAATTGATTTTTTATCTTTTGATGCCCAGCAAGGTCATCGGAGCGAAATACTACAATCTCGGTGAAGGTCCTTATGATGCGAATCTTAGTCCAGTGGATGATCAAGGCCATGGCACCCACACTGCAGCCACAGCGGCAGGTGTGCCGGTGACCGGAGCTAGTCTCTATGACTTAGGGAAAGGCACCGCACGTGGTGGCGTCCCATCTGCTCGCATCGCCGTGTACAAAGTTTGCTGGAGCATAGGATGCAGCGACATGGACATTTTGGCCGGCTTTGATGACGCCATCGCCGACGGGGTCAACTTCATATCGGTGTCTGTAGGCGGCGCATCCAGGGAGTTCTTCAAGGACCCAATAGCCATCGGATCATTTCATGCAATGGGAAGAGGGATTCTTACTTCTTGCTCCGCCGGGAATGACGGTCCTTACACTATGACTGTCGAGAACGTCGCTCCATGGATTCTCACGGTGGGTGCTTCTGTTACTGATAGGCAGTTCACTGCAGAGGTAGCCCTAGGCAATGGCAAGAAAGTTACAGTAAGCGTCTCTCTATCCGCTATTATTCAAAGCGCAATGGTCGCTTGAGTATTTAAAAATCACTTTCAGGGATCTTAATTCTTAAATTTCATGCAAAAAACCTATTCAATTGGTTGTTTTATTGGGTTGGTAGGGACTGTCCATTAATACCTTTTCACCTGGGAAGAAGATGTACCCTTTGACTAGTGGAGCCCTTGCTAGCAACACCAGCAGAGATAGCTTTGGAAATGCCAGGTACGTACTCTTAACCTAAAACCCAGACATGCTGTTAAAAGCAGTTCGCTTCCCTTAAGAGATGATGTGATATGTGCTGATTTTGAAATTATGATGCAGTGCTTGTGAATATGGAACTCTAAGCGAGGAAAAAGTGAAGGGGAGGATTGTGTACTGCCTTGAGGGAATGGGAGGCCAAGACTACGTCATCGAAGAACTAGGAGGCGTAGGGACCATTATGGATATACCGGAGCCAACAGATGTCTCCATCACCACGCTTATTCCAGGGACCTTTGTGGAGGCCTTTAGTGCGGGCAAAACCATTGAGCTTTACATCAATTCCACCAAGTATGTTTCATTCACTAGCACTTTTTAGGCCATTAGCTAAACTGATTATACTGGAACTTCAAGTCTGAATAAGATTAAACAAATTCAGGAATCCTCGAGCTATTATACACAAGACAACAACTAGAAGAGTCCCAGCTCCTTTTCTTGCTTCCTTCTCATCCAGAGGTCCTCATATTCTCAGCCCTCACATCCTCAAGGTGATCTCTCTCTCTCTCTCTCTCCATATGTGTGTGTGTGTGTGGGGGGTATATTTATAAATGTACATGTATATCTTGCTTCCTCTGGTTTAACAACTGTAAGTTTCTACGTTCTCTGTGCACAGCCTGACTTAGTTGCTCCGGGAGTGGACATATTGGCCGCTTATTCCAAACTGACAACGATAACAGGGTACCCGGAAGACATGAGGCACAACGTCTTCAACATACTATCGGGAACATCTATGTCTTGCCCACATGTCACTGCAGCTGCTGCTTATGTCAAGTCCTTCCACCCAGACTGGACTCCTGCTGCTATCAAATCTGCCCTCATGACCACCGGTGAGAATAAGAATCTCCATTAGTATAAATTTCTCTTCCATCCAAGCGGCCATTATCGACTTCTTCACTTTCTAACCTATAACTTTCATCTCTACGATTCAGCCACCCCAATGAAAATTGGTCGAGACAAGCTGGTGGAGCTGGGAGCTGGCTCAGGACAGATTAATCCAACAGGAGCCGTGCATCCTGGACTGGTGTACGACATTGGAATAGACTCTTATGTTTCTTTCTTATGCAAACGCGGTTACAACAACACCGTCATTGGTCTGCTAGTTGGAAGCAAAAGGGTCAATTGCTCCACCGTTAAGCCTCAGCCTGGCAGCGATGGAATCAACTACCCCACCATGCATATCCACCTCATGGCTCATAATTCTAGCATCTCGGCAGTGTTTCATCGAACGGTGACTAATGTGGGATATGGGAATTCAACGTACAAGGCTAAAGTCACGGCACCTAGGGGTCTTTCTGTGCGAGTTATACCAGATACGTTGCAGTTTTCTCAGTTGCACCAAACGAAGATATTCAAGGTCGTGATGTACGGGCCTCCAATGCCAAAGGAGACGCGGATATATTACGCATTGCTCGAATGGAGTGACTCTAGACACAACGTTAGAAGTCCTATTATTGTATATAGGCCGCCTTCTCCACCCCGTGGAACTTAAGCTTCTTCCACCCCGCCTTCATAACCTCAAAAAACTAACTTTCGAAGAATTTCGTTTTTCGTTTTCATCAGGATACAACGAGGTCCAGTTTTGCAATTGGCTTTAACTTCTTTCTTTTTTTTCACTTCTTCTTCTTTTTTTTTTCGGGTTTTTTTTGGGGGGGGGGTTTGTTTCGGGCGAAGGTTTGACTGGTGATCCCTACATTGTTTTTCAAGCCATTAACCATTATACATTCTAAGATAAGATCAGCGCATGAAAAAATGAAAATGAAACAATCCAAGCAACTTGAACATTGGCTGAGGCCCAAGACTAGGATGACAAATGCCAACTCCAACTCCATAGCATACCATTCGATAACTGAAACCCAAAAATTAAAAATCCAGATGTTAGAGGCAGAACTAGGATCACTTCTGCTTTGAGTGCTTATCTTGTAATTCCATTTCAAGTCATTAGAGAGGGGGGTTGTCGTACAAAGGGAAACCAATAACCTTCAGAGCACATCAAATAATCAGCATTGTCCCAAAATAGAATCAAACAGCCATAACCACGTAAATATCTGTGCTTCGAATTATAATAGAATATTCACATATATTATTTTGTAGAACAAATAATGTGCATATACATTAGTACACCTGGCTAACTGTACGAGTGTATTTCGAGCTCTACATTCTCAAGAATTTGTTTGCCGCTGAAAGAAATCTCAATGACGGGATTAACAAAAAAAATCCGTATCCTGTCCATCCTCCTGCATGTGCTGTTTGTTTATTGAAATGCCTGAATTATCCTCAAAGCATTATCTACCGAAAATTTAAAAAAAAAATGATCGCCGAAATTTCTGGCAACCTTCCTAAAAAAAGAAAATAGGAAACCACAATGGAAGTAGATAATCTCAAACCTTTAACGCTGTCAAAAACGTTTTGAACTTTGCATCTCTTCCTTCACTGGCCTCCCCTGTTTCGCCCAGGTGTTCTGCTCAATTTCAAATGACTTCTTTTATCAAGTGATAAGCAATCGCAGAAGCGCTGGTAACGGATATATCATTGATTCCCCTTAAATCTTTTAATTAAGTTGACTTATTAGTCAACATTGCAACCGACATTGGCGACTGTGAATGCTTTTTAGCTTTGTAAGCTCCTTTCTCCTCTTCCTGGCCTCAGCTGCAGCAATTGCATCCACTTGTTCTTGTTTCTTTTCCAGCAAAGAATTTGCAGTATAAGAAGCTGTTGAAGATACCTCAGCATCGCGAGCAGGATGTAACTGAAGGCAATGTTCTTCCTTGACAGCAGTAGGGTGACAAATACCAAGGGAATGTCCATGATATCCTTCCATCATGTGACATCCTCTTCGCTGCTGATCTCCATCCAAAGAAAACTTAGGACTGGCGTGATTTGGATCATCAATAGGTCTGGCTTCTGTTAAGCCAGAAGCTTCTGTTTTGATTTTGAAAGGTAAAGTAGCTTGGTTGTCCTTATTTGCCGTTGTATTCGTAGATGAACTAATCCTACATGGTTTACCTACAGGATACTTATCTTGTTTATCTTTAAGGCCAAGGGAGGGTGGCGCTTGTCCATGTCCAGACTCTGGAGGTGGGAAGAACCAAGGACACGGAAACAGGTATAATGGATTTTGTATTTCATTGTCCTGTATAAGGTTATTTTGTTTGTGACATAAGTCAGTCTCAGAAGACAACGGTAAAGAAATATTTGATGGTATGGGAGTGGAACTATGAGGCGTATGCTGAAATTGAACAGAATTTGAAGACTGGATGACAGAAGGCCAAAATAACTGTGTTACTGGGAAATGGCCACAAAGGAACCATGGACCATTACTCGAGGAAGATGTTATCTCAGATACAGGCAAGTCATGCTCCTCAGGAGTTCTCTCCACCATGGTACTTGCAGACTTGGCTATCTGCACGTGGGAAAAAAATCGTTATTATTATTATTATTATTTTTTCATTCTATGAACAAGAGTTATTGCTTGTATGCATGAAAGTAGCATGTAAAAATCTTACTTGTGCCTTCAAGTGCTTATTTGTGTTCTCCAAAGATTGATACTCTTTCAAAGCCAACTCCTTCTCCTTTTTGCCAGAAATGATGCCAAATGTGAAAGGGTTGATGGTTAAATAAACATCAAAGAGGAAAATACATTCAGATCTAATGAAACAAAAATATCGAAGATAGCAGAGTGACAGATAGACGTAATTGGCTGTTTGATAAAATAACAGATAAATGATAGTCCTATACCCTCTTCAGGTTTTCATTCTCCACTGCTAAATTGGCAGCTTTTCTGGTTAACTCCTCACAAAGTGCCTGGAAAAATATTCATAAAAAACCTGCTAAATATTTTGGGTAGGAAAAGCAATTTGCCTGAACAGTTACATTGTTCAGAATTACATGAGGTTTTCTTCTTCTCATAAAAATTCAGAAGTATATATGTACTGGAATTCGGTCAAGTTATAGAAGTACCATGGTAATCAGGTTTGCAATGGCCTTCACATATATAGATATGAGATTATTAAATATTGATAAATAAAAGGTTAAAGCATTTGTCTTTTGAAAAATGAAACATTAAAAACATAGCCACGATTTGTAGAAAGTAAAATAGAGAATGGGGTTGTTCTACATAATTGAAGCACGTTACAACAGATAGCATATTATGTGAAATTCAGGGATCATTAACACATTTTTTTGGCCATAGGCCAATAACACATTCACTTGCCAAAGGGACATTTCACAGTATCACCGCATCAATTTAATAGGCAGTGTATAAGCAATACCCAATACGGGGATGAAGAATGAAATAGCTGATCTCAATATCCTCCCTCACTTGCCACAAGCAAAAAAGAAGAAGAAGAAGAAAAATAAAAGAAATAAAAAAGCGGAGTGATTATTAAAAAGCACAAACAGATGTAAACTGGTGGACAAACAAACCATATTGAGCAGTCAGGCACAAGTTATAAGGTCAAGTTTGGAGATTCTAGCTTAACTTTTTTTTTTCTTTCCAAATTATTTTGGGCATTTAAGAGTCAATTCCATCAGGATATAATTTTTTTCCATTTCTACTACCTGCCTACGACGAATTGTCTGCCTAGCTGACTCTCTGTTTGCCAATACCCTGCGTATCCTCCGTGCCTCCTTTTCTTCCTGAATAGTTTGCCCATAAGAGTTCTGTTACCATTATGAGTGATGGTCAATAATGTAATCAAATATATTTGAAGCCTCTTGTACCTCAGTTAAATTACGCCTTGACTTGCTGCAGCCAACCAAAGAGTAACTTCTGCATAAGATGCTTGTCTTAGTTAAATCAGCATCCTCCTCCATCTTCACTTGTCCTGAGCAGACATCCTGTTGAATCCTTTTTGGTTCACTTGTAGATATTTGTTGATGTGGCTGATGACCTTCAACAGCTTGGTTCTGCCATAAATTCAATTCAAATATATCTAAATTCTTCTTACATGAAATGGTACAGAACGTGATGATGCCACATTTCTTATATTTGTTCGACTTAAGGCGTACCATGTTTCCAGAAGTTAATATCTTATCTTTAAAATCAGGACGTGATTGATAACTAATGAAACTGAAATGAGGAAATAAAAAACGAGAAGACGAATTAATTTCTTGATTGCGTCAAATCAGCTGTTGATGCTCCATTAACAACACCACAGACAGCATCTCCTGAAAATTTCCAGAAGCAAAAGAAGGGGATAAAAAAAACTCAACTTGAAAATTTTTGGAAAGTTTAGTTACTTTCATTTAAAATTTCTTAGTCATGCCGGTTCACTATAGGATACTAAAACTATACAAAGCAGAGGCAATGAAATTATGATAAAACTAAACTGCGCCCGTGAAGTGATCTTTTTTCTTTCTTTTCTTTTCTTTTTTTTTTAATGAAAACAAATTCGCCAGCTTAGTAGCTAAGAAAAATGTGTTTTTAGGGTGTGATAGTAAAGCTGACGGAGCAAAAGAGGGTAGTGACATTTAATCATGAGTTGTCCACTAGAAAGAGGATTAGGAGTACCGCCAAATTATAAACTTCAACTCCAAAATTGGAGAATGCATCCATCTAGAAATAATTTATATACTGAAGTATCTCCTAACGTCCAAGCTAAAGGCTAAATTTCTTGGACGAGGATGAATGATGAGTCCATGGCTTGTACCCAAATAGAATTCCTCTTTGCCGATGCGTATATCTACATTATATGGCGAAAAATGAAACACATGATTGTCTGTCTCTAAATTCGTTCGGAACAGCGGCAGAATCATTGCTCAGTTCTTCAGGTTTTATCAATTTCGGGAAACTGAATTATCTACAGTCACAGTGATTTGACTGGTTTCTTTCCAAATTAATGACTAGTAAATACTATTCTTTGTTCGTAATTGTTTACCAATATTCAAAACTTAAAAATATATTATATCTATGTTTACTTAAATCACGGAATTGGGACCACAATTTTTTACTCCGAATGTGTGGTTTATTTAAAGGAAATAAAAATAAAAGGATCAAACGCGAGAAGAACTAACACGGGGCCAATAAAACTGACCCGAGAGAGATCCGGACACTTTGAGACTGAGTCGAGCCCGTTCAACAACGAGTCATCGGTCGGTGACTCGCGCGCTAGCCGCCTCTTGCCTTGTTTGCCTTTCTTCCACCGTTTCTCACCGGAGTCAGGGGCAGTCTCGAGCATCGCCAACCGGGCCAAGTCAGCGAGGGTCTCCGCCGCTTCAATCTCTGTCCTCACCAGCCGATCCGCCTCACTAACCAGCCTCTCCGGCCACGCGGGCGAAGAAGCAGAGCTGCTTGGAAAGCGCTTCTCTGATTCCATGGGCACAAACAGAGAGAAACCGCTCAAAAAGAGAGAGGAAGTATTTCAGTGCAGTGGAAAGGGAAGAAAGGGAGGGAAGTGCGAGCCGAGAGAGGAAGGGAGGGAGGGAGAGGGAGGGAGGGAAGCGAGGCGGAGGGGGTGTTCTTACTGGTTAGCAGAAGCAGCCCAAGGATTGTATATGAATGCCACGTGTCGTGCCAGCTCACAACTCGACATCTTTATGAGGAAAGACCCATGTATCTGTGCTTGCCACGTTTCTGAAATTGACCACGTAGGCGAATTCCCACATTACAAAAGTCGGCCCCCTCCCCCAGCGGTTTAGCATTGAGACGGTAATTGAGCGGCCAATCAATCACGTTCATGTTCATCTTCGTTACCCGACTTCAAAAAAGGAAAGAAACGGAAAACAAATCATGAGGTGCAATAATGGACCGATTTGAGCCCAAATGTGAGGCCCATCCGTCAACAAAACCTGACTTTCTTTCTTTTGATAATGGTAAAGCTTAACGATTTACGACTTGACCAGTTTGCTTATAGAAAAAGGCGCAGACAAAGAGATAGTTGTATGCAATATGATAATAAAATAAAAAAGAATCCAGTTCTACTTGAAATAAATATATTAAAAAATACTTATCTTATTGATTGCATGTTCAGTTAGATATAAATAAAATACGAGTATGGCTTTAAAGACCCGTATAGTATAGCATTCTTACATAAGTAGAATAGATAAAAGCATGTTTTGAACATATACCGGGGATTCTGAAACTCTGCCAAGGAAGGGTGAATTTAGCTAAATAAAAACTTGACTAGTTAATACAAAATAAAAGATAAAGAAGGAATAGTGTCAACAAAAGGTATTGAGAGAAGGGTAAAGAAGCTTGCATAAATCAATTATTCTGGTTTAATTCTAACTATTTGAGTCTACGTTCAATCTCCAGACTACATTTGAGATTCGTCCACTTGAGCTGCCAAGATTAAGAAGGGCTCTTGGTTGCCAAAGTATAATTATGTATTTCTGCATACGTTTAAATCACCCCCTTACAACAGTAGTGATTAGCCCCCCTAAATCCCCGAGTTTAAAGTCATTTATTTTGTGTATGCAAAATAGGAATAAACAAAATAAGTTTAATAATAAATTACTATTGTTAGATGAACACGAATGCATGTCAACTCTTGCTTTTGTTAGTGCATTGTCTTCATATATGTGTTTATTTAGACTTGAACTTCACAAATGATTTGTTAGATACATAAGAATGGCTGCTAGACATTTCAAGTGACTCAATGATATCAGGTTCAGCCTCAACTTTGTTATGTAGGAGAGGTTGGAGGATCGAACCTGGGGAGGCTCTCCGCAAGGGGAATAATCCGTACACTACTGCGGGGAAGCCTTTGTCTCCTGATGCTCACCGTAAGGGATGGGATCGCCCTGTTGTGGGGTTTGGGGGAAGACTGTCTAGCGCCGCAAAAGACCTCGGGTAGGCGGGATGAGCGGAGGGCTGTTACATCATCTCCTCTCCTTCTAGCTTTCTTGAGAAAGTAGACAATGACACGATGCTTTTCAGCTAAGTTTCACTCCAATGGCAAGTAAGGATGATAATGACTACATGCATTCAATGCTCTGACAAAAAGTAGGTGAGGATTATATCGATAAAGCTAGCACTGTACAAGTATAAAGAATAATAAAATAATCAATAAGAGCTTAATCTTATCTTAAGTTTTGTTTGAAAGGATTTTAGAAAGATTGTAGAGTTAATATAATCTTTATAAAAAGTTAATGGAACGAACACAAAATGAGACTCGAATGATACAGAATTGAATATGTAGGACATAATAAGTTTCTTAATGTTCATACCAAAATAACGACCATCTTACCGATATAATTAATAACAATAAATGATTTTGCACAATGTTTACTATTTTGAAATAACCTAATCATATTGAAATAAATGTTCTTAAAAGACAATGATTTATGAGACACTATATGGAAATAAAGAGCTATACTTGAGTAAGAAGTTTTATACCCATGTAAGGAGATTGTTTAGGAATAAGAGGATTTACATCCACATAAGGATCACTGTTCCAAAATAAAGAGGCATACCGAGACTTAGAATAAACTACATTGAATAAGGCACTATATTGGTATAAAGGAACGTGCACCTATATAGCCAGGAAAATATAGGAATAAGGAAGCGATATCGGTGCAATGGGGAATAAGAGACACTTATATTTGCACAAGGATGCTTGTACTGATATAAAGGGCCCTTTATATTTGTAACTGTCAAATCGTTATGTGCAATTTATTTTTTAATTTCTCTCGGATACCTAATTATCATTAAGTTCAAGTTTTGCGACCTAACCATTGTTATCCTAAACATCAGTACCTCAGGCTTTCGCGCAAGTTAGTAGTTTAACGGGCTTGACAAGACAAGAAGAAGCAATGCACGATCAGCGGAATTCCGTGTGCCACTTTGGTGTGGGACTGCGGGTGAGTTATCTTATTTGGCCCAAAGACGGCGGAATTCACTTTTCCGCTGCAAAGAAGGAGGAGGCCCAAATCAGATCGGGGCTCCATTTATTGGCCCGCGAAAAGTAGATGCGGTCAGTAAAAAGAAACCCTAGCAAGGATGCTGCTATTTATGAAACTAGCTCTTCTGCTGCTGGTCAGCCTTTGAAGTCGCCGTCTGTTCTTTTCATCGCCCTCTTCGGATCCGATCTCCACTGCGCCAGGTAGGCTTTCCCTCCCTCCTTTACGAAGAGCATGCCTGATGTAACGGTGCCCTATTTGTGATCTTGCATTCGTGATTTTTCAGAAAATGAAGGTGATCGCCGCTTATTTGCTCGCTGTTTTGGGGGGGAACACCAGTCCGTCCTCTGCTGATCTCAAGGGCATACTTGGCTCTGGTACCATTCTTCTTCTCTATAGGATTTGTGAAAATGCGGATTTCATTATACTTTCTAATACACGATGCTTTTGGATTGTAAAATCGAAACATTTTCGCGTCGTGTTTGCATTTGCAATGTAGGTGGTTATATTATATGATATATTACTATATATAATGTCTAGTTACTTGAATACTGAAGATTCATTGACAACGAGGGTTCTCATTATTTTTAATAATTTGTGAACGCGCAGTCGGAGTGGAGGTTGACGATGACAGGATTGAACTTCTTCTGTCCGAAGTCAAGGGTAAAGACATAACAGAGTTGATCGCCAGCGGTAGGGAAAAGTTGGCCTCTGTACCTTGTGGCGATGGTGCTGCAGTTGCAATGGCTGCCGCACCTGGTGGAGCTGCGGCTCCAGCGGCAGCCGAGCCAAAGAAGGAAGAAAAGGTCGAGGAGAAAGAAGAATCCGATGATGTGAGTATTTAGCTTAGCTGTGCTCTTCTTCTAGGTCGCTTTTATACACTTCAATTGTTTTCTGATTCTTGGATCGTCATGTTGTGATGCAGGACATGGGCTTCAGTCTCTTTGATTAATTAGTGGTCCGTTCGACTTCTTTTCTTCGAGACATCCTTCCAGAGATCCTAATTTGCTTAAATTTTGATATAGAATCATTCAGATCCGTTATCTTTGTAGTGAAAGAATTTAGCGTGCAAGCCCTTATGTGAAATCGTAATTTGTTTTAGACATGAAGGATGGCTATTTCTTCTTGTACGTTTTGGTTGATTTCCCCCCCCCCCCACCCTCCCTCTGCGGCAAATTCAATGTGAATGGGGAAATCCTTGCATTGGAAGGTTAGGCACTTGGCATAACGTATTTTGCAGCATAACAAGTATATTGAAGTATAAAAAAAAATCAAGGCACAAAAGGTAATACTCCCTGTCTTACATTATAAAATATTTTCAGAAAAAATTTACCTTATAAAATATTTTGTGAAGATTAAAGTTTTATTAAATAAATTTATTTTAATTATTATTATCATTTCTCTTTTTTTTTACATGTTAATTTAGTGTAGATTAAAGGTTATTAAATGAAGTATATTTTTAGAAGTTTATATTTTTTTTAAAAAAAGAGATTGTTAAATGTATTTAATACTACTTCTGTTTCAAATTAGAGTATTTTTAAAAGAGTTTTTTTATTTAAAAAATGTAAGACATTTTGAATAAATTAAAGTTTTATATTACTTTTAATATTATTCTTTTTCTGTATAATTAATTTTTATTTTTTTAATATATTAAGTGATGAGTATTTTTAAAGGTTTATATTTTTATTTTGAAAATATAAAGTTGTTAAGTGTATTTAATAAGATTTATTAATATATAAGATCTTATTTAAAAATATTTTATAATTTAAGATATGAGATGAAAGGAGTAAGCTTTATTGAAATATAAAATTTTATTTAAAAATATTTTATAATCTGACACGAAAGGAGCATCATTTAAGAAGGAAAAATTGCCAGGTTACTATACTTTTTTTTTTGGCCAGAGCCAGGTTACTGTACCGGTCTGCTTAAACAGTTTTTATTTTTGTGAATGTTAACTGATGTACGTTTTGTTTGGTGAAATTTCAGTTGGGTAGAGGCGTTTTAGTCTTTGACTCGATCTATATATTTTAAAATCTTACGACAAGTTGTATTGTTAAAAAAATATGAACAGTGTGTTTGTTTGGATGGGCAGCACCGCATGAGTTTTTTTTTTTTTGGTGCATGGCATGAGTTTTTATTGTAGTAAGCCAACTGCCGCTTTGCAATTATTTTGACGTGGAATGGAATACAAATCTTTTCGCTAAAAAAAAAAAAGTGAATAGTGTCGTAGTGTGTTGTGTGCACTGGATTTCATCTATGGCAGAATGGGAGCCCATTATTGTAAAAAAAATAAAATAAATAAATTAAGTCAAATTGTAAGTTGTCGATGCAATTAAAATAATAAATTAGATTTCATCATTTCAAAAAATTGAAATGGCAATCTTTTGAATCATGATGGAGGAGTCCAAAACGAAATTTAAAAACAATTAATATTGTTCTGTTCCAGCTGATTGGTTGATCAAAAAATAATGGTCATCTATCTGTAATTGTTTAAGATTTGCTATAACAAATTTAAGCTCCTGTAGTTATTTTATCCAAAAATACCGCCTAGCTGGGGAAATGGTCGGGAATAATTATGTGCAGAGTTCCGTATTTGCACAAGTAAAAAAATGGTTCGGTATTTCAGAAATGGATTGCGTTTCAAATTTTTAATTTTTTTACTCCCCTGTTTGGTGTCGTTTTTTTTTTTAACCTTTTTCTTGGGGTATGGTTGAGTTTTGTTAACTTGATGAGTCTTCGCTCTTCAATTAGCCCAACAAAAGCAAATGCGACAAGCAAGCCCATAATTGAGTTTGGGCTGCCACTGAAGAGAGAAACTGAGCATTGACGGCTGACAACCAATGAATCACGGCATTAGATTGCACGTCTCAGCCAGCTTAACTTTTTGTACCCCTCAAGTGTTTGAAAAATTGCCTGTTAAGTTAGTATTTAGAGCTATTTAGGTAAAACAATGCTGTCAAGCAAAGGCGAGAATTTGGAAGGAAACCTTTTATGATGGTTGCTTTTTTTTTTTAATATATAAGGACACAAGAAACTCATGTAAAGATTAAACAAAATCAAATCATGTCAAATTTTATAAGAGATCTGTATTTTGGAAGTGGGTGATCATAAATAATAAGATTAAAATTTGTCTGAAACCCAGTGAGCAAGTATATCTGTACATCTATTTACTTTTTTAAGTGTGTGATTGAAGGAAATGATTCAATTTTTTATTATCAATTTTTCGATTTTGTTGATAATAATAAAGAAAGGATGGTTATCAAAAAAGTGGATAAGCGAGATTGCCACTGAGGGAAGCTAGGCCTAGCCGTGAATGCTTGTTTCATTTAGATTGGCCCCTCTAAGTGAAGACAAGTCCCTAACCAGCCATCTCTTTCCAGGACGCCTGTCCAGTCCCCCACATCACGTGCAAATGACTAAATGGTGCTTCCCGTTCTTTCTCTGCCAAACAAATGAAAAATATTGTTAGCTCACCCCAGTTCTTATTTCACTTGTAAAAGTTTATGCCGCCCAGGAAGCTTGTTCTCTCAGAATAATGGTGGGTCTCAAGATTTTTTTTTCCTCTGAAAAAAATAGGGCATTAATTGAGGACCCTGGGTCAATTAATTCAGCTAAGTTATCGGGACAGATATGCCCTTTGAGATAATGAAGAATGGAGTCCATATTCATGGTTGGGAATTGTAGTAGAAAAAGGACACCACACTTCCCAAGCTAGCAAACAAAACGAAGCGAAATGAATCACTGCTGCACTTGTCTGCTCACGCGTCAGTTCTCTCTAATTATGCTGCAAACTCAGTACTATTCAAGATGATTCATTTGGGCCCAACTATTATTAATGAAATCAATAATTCACACGCGCCTGCCTCCCTCGCCATCCCCTGTTTTTCATGCCATAGTCTCGCCTTTCCTCGACGCGCATAATAGGACGACGATGTGATTTTGGTCTCAGTATTGACGAACACGAAAAGATAGCAACCACAATTCTTTTCTTAAACAACACAGCACATAATAATAAGGAAGTAAAAGTGCAACCAAGGTTTGAGTGGCGGTGCATATCTGAACCTGATTACGTAGGGTGATAGCAGACGGTATTGAATTCAACAGCCAGCCATGGCGGGCCTCTCCAATTTCATTGATTAAAATAATGAGGCTGACATCGATGGAGAGCAATGAGTGAGCAGCGCAGGAATGAATTGTTTATGAATCAGAGAGGATGGGGCAATAAATAAGGGAAGAGATGAAAGTGAAAGGTGAGAAAGGTGGGTCGCTGTTATAAATTAAACCTGACATTTTCACATAACCTGAATCCTTTTTCAAAACTTCGCTATCGTTCAGAGCGAGACACGAGGAGGCACAAGGACCCTCTTGTCCGCACTGTGCACCACACCCTAGAAACGTCACCACACCGCAACTATTCCTCCAATTTCCCTCCCCTTTCACATCTTTTGCTTTCGCTCTCATTCACTGCTTTTCGACCCTTTTCGTTGCCAATTTCTATATATAATTGTATGTGTTTATCCTGTCTTGTCTCATCCTATGATCTCCCATGAATAAATGATGACTAATAGATAGAAATGCGGGACCCAATTATGGGCGTACAGATCTGTTAAGGCATTTTTTCCACGTAGGTTAGGTCAACTCGGCACGTCATTAGGTATGATTTAAGATTAGTCGCTAATTCCACTCAACTTGACTTTTCATTTAAGTCTAACCGCAGGCCTGGCCATCTCGTCAATTGCTTCTTCGTGACACGATCTACCTTTTATTTTTTTAGTGGTTTTCTTAATCCTGAAAACAAAATTACGATGCAACCCCTCATTAGAGACTGAAAATATTTCTATCGGTTCCCTTAATTTTAGAGCAGAGACACTTCATTTTCGCTTCTTGTTTTTGGATATTGGGCTGTCACGGCATGCTACTCAGAGTCTCATGCTATAAAGCTCCATCCATTCCATTAAATGGTACGGGCAAATCTATGGCAAGTAAAGGGGTGCCGATTGGTTGTTGGATGTTCAAGTTGTCTCCTCCCTTTGCGTTTCACTGTTGTGATCCATCCCAATAATGGCTTCCAACGAGAATGTAGGCTCGCAGTCACCGCAATTCGTCCAATCCCCTCCTGCCACGTTCTAGGCTCCAATCATGCATCTAATGAGAGTTGGCAGCTGAATTCTAAAGCTAAGTTTCCAGGGCCGACGTTATTATGAGATTGAAGGCCACCCATTTCAACCGTCGGTCACGCTTGCTTTTACAACACTGATTAATTACTTTACCAGTTTACCGTAGCTTTTTTTTTTTTTAAATTTTTGTGGGCTATTTTTGTGTAGTATAGCTCACGATCCCCCCCTCTGAGAGTATAGTTCCATAGATGAACACGATGATAAAAAAGACTGTTTTACCAAACACAGAACATTGGATACTATATGTAAAGTATTTGTATTTTTTTTTATTGTTATACTACTTCTTTATACGAACCCAAATCTCAGATCGCCCCATTTCAAATGGGGACATATAATTGAAGGGAAAATAGCATCGGTAGCTGTCAAGTCCCACCCCCGCCAAGGAATGAAAAAGTACGGCATACATCATAATACGACGGATTATTTACAATTAAAATTTGAAATTGCTGAGATATTTTAATTTCCTGGGATGCTCATTGCTCTTGCATATTTATATATTCCTATATTTTATTTAATACTAATAATTTAATATCATATTGCAGGACTTTTGAATTGATCCCTTCGGGACAGTGAAACGCAGCATATACGGTGGGGCCATTGTTCCTTCAAGATAATCAGTGCCCAGTACCGAAAGCAGAAACAGTAACATACATTGCGCATCTCCTTCTCTCTCCCTCTCTATCTATCTCAGTTTTCCTCTCCATCTCTTCCTAGCTCTGTCTAGGGTTTCTCCATTTCCCTGCTTGGGTTTCTTTCCCTACGGATTTGTTCGCTTGAACCTGTGTCAATGTGCCCCTACCTCTTAGCCTTTTCAGGTACTGCTTTTTGTTTCCGATCGCATTGTATTCGCCTTATTTTATGCTTCCTCTGTCTCTCTGTGCACGCACTCTGATTCGTTAGTGAGTGCTCTTCATCTGGACGACGCGTTTTCTGAATCTGTCAACTGATACTTC